TCCGAGCAGGAAGGGTGCTGTTTATTTTTAGTTTTGCCCCCAACAATGTCTGAAGGCCCTTTGATAGGATAACTTGATCAGCCGTGGGGGGGGGAGGAGAACGATCCAGCGTTTCTATAGGAGGTAGTTGAAGGTTTGTTTTGTGTCCCCCAGGGTGGTAAAGTAGACCGGAGCGTCTAGTGTGTGGCACACCTGGGGCTACCGTGAGGTGGGTCTGGGCGCAGGACACCATCAATATAATAAAATTAAGGGAATTTCTCCTCACTTCCTGTCCTAGAGGAACAACAAGAAGTGAGGGGGAATCTCTCCCCCCAAGTAAGGGGGGTTCTCTTCTTGGATAGTTGTCCCCGAAGCCGGTGTCTCCATGGGACTTGCCTCCTGTTCTGGTGACATCTAAATATTTTGGTTTTTCAAGTACCGGTGTTGGATGAGAAGATCCGGCTCACAATTGGCGTTCCAATTCATCCCAAAGGTGATCAGTAGAGTTGAGGTCAGGCTCTGTCCAGGACACTCGAGTTCCTCCACCGAGCTGGTCACACCATGTCTTTATGGAGCTGGCTTTGTACACGGGGGACAGTCATGGGTGGAACAGAAAAGGGTCTTCACCAAACTGTGACCACAAGGCTGTAAGGGCACAATTGTCTATAATGTCTTTGTATGATGGAGGATGAGCAGAACCTTCACTGGAGACACCTGAACTTCATCATTTGGAGGGTGTCTGAGGGAATTTGCGCCATTTGTGAGGTCAAGTAGTGATGTTGGATGAGAAGACCCGGCTCACTGGCAGTCCAATTCAGGGCTCTGTGCAGGACACTCATTAAACCATGTTATACAAGAGGACATGGTCCATAGTCTGGTTTCCATTCATCCCAAAGATGTTCAGTAAGGTTCGGGTCAGAGCTCTGTGCAGGACATGCGAGTTCCTCCACCAAGCTGGTCACACCATGTCTTTATAGATCTGGCTTTGTACACAGGGGTCAGTCATGGAGGAACAGAAAAGGGTCTTTACCAAAATGTGACCACAAGGCTGGAAGAGCTCAATGGTCTACAATGTCTTTTTATACCGTGGTATGGTGAAAAGTGAATTGGCCTGGTTTTTGTTCGCTTGGACGTTCACCAAACCCAATGAGAAATCCGGGATCGGTGAATGTCCAAATGAACTTAACCCAGGGTCGCCTGTGTGCTAACAACCAGCAACGTTGCCCGTGTAATGTCATTGGTTGTTAAGATGCTGGGAGCCCCACAGCCTCATAGGTTGTTATGGCGCACCCGACTGTGTCCTAGAAACCAACAATGCCGCTCAGCCACCAGTCAACCAATGACGCCATGCGTAATGTCATTGGTTACTTAGATGTTGATGGCCCCTCAGCCTTATAGGTTGTTGTTATATTGTACCCAACTGTGTCCTAGAAACCAAAGATGCCGTGTCACCAGCCACCAGTCAACCAATGATGCCACGAGGCTTGTGCAATGTCTTTGGTTGATGGCCTCCCAACATCAGAGGTTGGTCTGGGGCACCAAACTGTGTCTTAGAAACCAATGGCACGGTACAGCTCAGCCACTAGTTAACCAATGAGGCTTGGTACCTAGGAGGTTACTAGGAGAGGAGGTTCAGCAGGCAGGAGAACTGGCTAAGTCCTTCACCCATTGAGGGAACCGGCTCAGCCACCAATCAACCAATGACGCCATGTGTAATGTCATTGGTTGCTAAGATGTTGATGGCCCCTCAGCCTTATAGGTTGTTATATTGTACCCAGAAACCAAAGACGCCGTGTCACCAGCCACCAGTCCACCATAGAGGCCACGAGACTTGTGTACCGTCATTGGTTGCTAAGATGCTGGCGGCCTCCCAACATCATTGGTTGGTCTCGGGCACCCAACTGTGTCTTAGAAACCAATGGCACTGTACGGCTCAGCCACCGGTCACCCAATGAGGCTTGGTACCTAGGAGGTTACTAGGAGACGGAGGTTCAGCAGGCAGGAGAAGCGGCTAAGTCCTTCACCCATTGAGGGAACCGGCAATAGTTTGGGTTTGGGTGGAACTGGTGGTCCTCCCCAGCCAGAAATCCATCCCTACTGTTGTATTTGTCCATACGGTGAAAGTGCTCTCAGTGATGACCGATGATGATCAATAACGATCGATGATCTAATCACTTCCCGTCACTCTCACCACAACACACGGTCTCGACATCTATGAATGTGGATCTCGGCAGGAAGCCGCCGTGGACTCTGGGAACCCTCGTCCTCGGAATTCCCACGGAGGATAAACACCCCCCCCCCCCCCCGCGCCACGGG